GCGCATGCTCGCATACATTTAATCCATATTTTCTGTTTTATCGGTATTTCAAGAACAGAAACTTTAGTAATATGATTTAAACCATAATTTAATTGCTATTGTGTTTACGAAAATGTAAATGGTTTGATACATCATTATGCCTTTAATCTTCAATAGATGCCCTGAATTAGTATAATGAATGACAATAACACAAACAGCGTTTTTATTAGGTCTATAATTAGGTATTATTGTAGTTATTTATTATTACTGTATTATTATTATTATTATTATTTCCGTTGTGGTTGTTGTCTTTGTTGTTATTCCTATTTATTATTATTTCCGTTGTGGTTGTTGGTGTTATTGTTATTTATCATTATTCGTTATTACATCATAGTATTATCATTATCATTGATTATTACATTAGTAGTAATAGTAACATGTCGCCCTGTCGTTATTATAAACAATAACGTTAACAGATAAAGTTTTTTAGAATGGAGAAAAGTATCACTTGCCCGCGATCACTTCTCTGTAACTGTAAACTCGCCGCACTTGCCCATTTTTAGATAGAAAAGGGTGGCGTGGTAGTTGGAACGTGGGTGCGCGTGCCGACAAATTTGTTGAATTTATCAGGTTGAATTTTACAGTCCATCCACGTGTTTCATCAGTAAATCATCCGTAATAGTTTTATGTTTCATATAACAAGACGATGTAAATACACACACTGAGTTGCGCATAGTTAATATCAAGATCAAAGTATACCATAACGTTTCATTATCATAATCATCATCATCGTTTGCATATTTATTATGGATATATAATGCGCCGTTTAGTCATGATCATCTAACTAGGAGCGATTTGAATAATAATAAAATAAATAATTAATTGTTCTTTTCAGTAGCTGTGCAATATTCAATGTCCTCGAGTCCTCGACCTTTCTGACTGGTTAACCTTATGGCATTACTCATAATTATGTTCAAACGAATACTGAGAATATTTTAACGATGATGATGAGGATGATGGTGCTGGGGCGGATGTAGGGGGTGCAGATTTTTTATCATTAAAAATATAGTACCAGTATCATTTTAAAATTAGAGTGCAATTTCCATATTCTCAATATTTTTCAAATCTCAGACCCAACCATGGTGGGATGGGTGGATGTGGTGGGTTCTCACGCACCCACTACCGCCAAATCCTGCATCCGCCCAAGTGGTGACGACTACGACGATAATAATGATGGTGATGATGATAATGTTGTTGATGGGATAATATTTATGAGGATGATGGTTGTTAGGTTAATGAGGATGATTTTATTGCCTCGCGCTCCATCTACATCAGGCTAGTTTTCATGAGTATAAACGAAATACCCAGCATTATTAGTAATACGATGTTTAACAATGATTTGAAATTGTACACTTACTGACCTATTTGTATTTGACCTGATATTTGATATATATATATATATATATATATATATATATATATATTATATATATAGGCCTATATACATTTATATATATATATATATATATTCATACG